GGCGCCTCAAGCTGTTTGCTGCGTTACATGTGGATCTACGGCGAGTCGGCACGCGGCCTCGTTTTTCAGCTCCTCTCTGACAGACGCACAGTTGGGATCCATCACGTCCTCACGATACAAACGAGCGGACGCACGAACGAATGAACGGATGAATAAGCTGCCGGGGCCGAGCGATGCGTTTGCGTGCAGCCAGTCAGCAGCCAGGCGTGCGGATATGTAGGGCGATGCAACGAGCAGGCAGCGACCGCGGGCACAAGCTGAGATGGGAGGGGTCTGTGGAGGGGTATAGGAAGAGCGATGGAGAGAGCGACGGGGTAAAGCGAGGAGAGATGTCCTCAGAATGACCCACATCAGCACCAGACAGCTTCACCCCCTCCCCCTCTCTCTTACTCTATATCTCCTCATGCTCGCTCGCTCTTTGCTGCGTAATCGGCTGAAAAAAGAAAGCGAGGGGAAAAAAAGCAGAGGAACACGAGCGGGACGCCTGCACTCTAAAAACGCTCTCATGAAGGGTTCAGTAAGGGACCCGAGGGTTCCCCAACTGAATGAATACAGGAAGTGTTTTTGTGATCTGCAACTTCATTAAACCCAAACCTCTGACCAAAACAGCCTTTCTGATGCCGTCACATGACTTCATGCTAACATGAGCTGAATCTCACTGAAACGGTAACCATCCTCACACCGGCACACGAAGCTGTCGGGAGTGCCACGTCAGGGGCGTTTTCCACTCGCCGTTTCCTGTCAGAGGTTTCCCCGTAACCACGGAGCCGCAGTGACGTCACCTACTCACACCTGCACTTTGGCCCTTTTGGTCCGACCGCACTCTGAGGCACACTGCATCCTCATTGGCTGACGACTTCTGACTGACAGAGTGCTCACCAACAAGCAGCCGTTGGTTTCTGACTTTCACCATAAAATAAACGCGGGGATTTATCCTCCGGAGAGCCGAGGAAAAAACGTTAGTTTAACTTGTTTCGTGGTTCGTATCCAGAGGACGTGACTGAGCAGGCTGAGGACACCGAGACTCTGTCAAACATGACAGCAAACATGTTTGGTGTAACATGTTCCAAAGTAACACATTACTGTAATCACATTACATTTTTCAGTAATGTAATGAGTCACAAAGCTCTTCAGCTATCTGCACAGAGTCTCTTTCTGCATGCGCACTTCTGCTCCGATCAGCTGATGCGAGAGCCGTCATCCACACATGGACAAAACTTGGAACGTCTCCCAATGAATGGCCGGCCTTCCAAAATGACTACAAGAGCACGTGACACGAACATCAGGACAACTGAGCGATTGCAACGCAACAGAGGCTTAGAGATAAAGTCACCTCGAGGTTCATACAAGGTGAGGAAGCACTTGGCAACAGTAGGAAGGAAAAACTCCCTTTTAACAGGAAGAAACCTCCAGCTGTGACTAGTTGGGGTTATACACGTACAGAGGTGTATAAACACATAGTGAGAGAAGAAGAAACACCCAGTGCATCATGGGAATCCCCGGCAGCCTACGTCTATTGCAGCATAACTAAGGGAGGATTCAGGGTCACCTGGTCCAGCCCTAACTATATGCTTTAGCAAAAAGGAAAGTTTGAACACAAAAGTACTGAGTAAAAGTAACAAATTACTTTCTCTAGCAACTCACTCGGTAGATGATGCATTACTTTTGATAAAAGTACTAGTAGTAATAGATTACTTTTTTGTACTAATGACCCCAGTAGCAGTGACACCCATGATTGTGCCTGACACGTGTGTGCGTCTCCGTTAGTGTTGCACTCATTGGTGGGAGTTGTGTGTTTGCAGCAGTGCAAACAGGAGCTGTTCATAATGAATTCAGCTAACTTTTAATGCCTGCTTGGCTTCCTCTGCGGAGGCTGCCAGCCTCAGAAAGCCTCGGCTCTAAAAGGGCCCTGCACGCTCTGCTGTGCTTCTACGTGCTCGTGTGTGAAGCTAACGCGGTGGGAAGCAGGACCGGTGTTTTTCAGAGTGTGCTCCAGAGACGGAGCGTGTGAGCGGAGCATTAAACGGGAGGTTTAGCCCCGTCGGCGGCGCTATAGATTCAAACACGTGCGTGGAAGTAGGTCAGTAGTGAAAGGGTTCTCGGCTGTCCTCGCACGGCCTCTGCTCGGCCCGTCACACCACTCGCGTCGACTCCAATTTTCTCTTCCTCGCCCCTCCTCCTCCCACTGCCCCCTTCCTCCTCCCCCTTCATCCCTTTCTCTCTGCCCCGATTAGGAGGGGAGCAGGTCCCACCCCTGGTTCAGACGGGTCTCCTGTAGGTTAACTCTTCCCGCTCCGAGTGAACTTTTATCTCTCTGCGAGGTTCCTCCTCGGCGGTCGGCTCGTGTTTTCACCGAGGCCTCTGCCAGACCACGTGCGGCGTGTAACTGGTGTTTTTGAGGGAGACCCGACGCCACAAAATGGGGCCAAGCTCGGCGCTGTGAAGGCAGGACATGAATCAGCCTTTTCTCCCCGAAGTTCGAGTTAAAAACAGAGGCCAAAAAAAATCTGGGAAATTAAGGAGAGAGGGAAACGGAGCCAGTGAACTTCCAGGAAGGCTGGATAAAACCCAGATCTGTGAACAAATGGTGTATTACCCAACCCGGCCAGCTTTACATGATTTACAGTAGAGGTTAGAGAGGGGCGGGTGGCTGAGCTCACACCGCCATCTGCTGGAAAGCAGCGACAGTGCGAGGACAAGCCCCCCTTTAACCACACAGACGAGCCAAAATGCCCCATCATGGCTCCCAAAAATGTGGCACAAATTCACACCGAACCCGGACCGAGTGTAAGCAAAGATGTTTTCTGAAAGGCGCTGAAACGCCGAGCGATGAGGGCTAAAGCGAAGATGTAGAGGAGAATACAGTGGTTTGAATATCTGGAGGAGAACAGCGTGTTCCCAGGACTGGTTCGGCTGGTTTCTATGGTGCTGATGGTTTCTATGGTGGCGGTGTTTTTGGTGGCGGCGCTGAATACCTCGAATAATTGAGGCGGTTCAGCGAGGAGGGAAAACAGCGCCGCAAGTTAAAGAAGGAACAATCAGAGAACACTGGAAATGAATCTTTTTAGACGCAGACAGACACAGATATCGTAAAGCTCAAAGTGAACATACACGTGTGCTCGCACCGGTCACTTAACCGACTGTCAACACAGATATCTAATCATTCAATCACATGACACCAACTCATTTACTGGGATTAGAGTGTACAATATCCAGTAAGCGTCATATCTGTCTTATCGAGGTCAGAGGAGACAATCGAGGCCTGCACAAGAGCATCTCTCCGTGCACCACGTGTCCAATATGGAGGCGGATGAGCTACAGCAGCAGACAACCACACCGGCGACGCTCCTGTCGGCTCAGAGCAGGAAACTGAGGCTACAGCTCATAGACTCAACAAAACTGGACACAGACCACCGGGAAACACTGCCCGGCTTCTTCCAAAAGGCCAACACACCACGTCATAAAGCTCCAGTCATCTCCATCTGGTAACACTGGGAATCACCAAAAACCCACCGGTGGCCACCAGCACACTTCAGCCTGTGTCAGTTTGATCTGTCCGAACCTCACGAACATTAAAAAGGCCCAGTTTGGAGGAGCGTCTGTAACACTGGAGCGCACGGCATCAAGAATCCGCTTCAGACCACAGCAGCTACAAGGACCAGGAAAGCTGCTGCATCATGTGACTCCACAGTAGTTTATAACAGGTTTTTTCAGCAAATTGTCAGAAAACTAAAAAAAAAAAAAAATCAGCTGACTCTGAGGAGGGGGTCAGGTGCGACTCACATCCAGGGCCGACGAGCACGTCGTTAATCTGAAACGAACGTCCTGCCGAAGTCTCTACATCAGTCACTCTGAGCCGTCACAGCAGCGCCGGTGCTAGTGCGACACCTGCTGGTGGTTTCAGGAATTTAAGAGAAATCCAGCAGCCTCACATGTTACTGCTGATTGCACATCTGCATGTGTTTCCACCAGAGTTTAGAGGATGTTTCATTAAAGGTGGTCTGATAAACCTGAGCTGCTCAGCCCGCGGTTCACGTCTGCAGGCTTCAGCTCACCGACTCCTTCCTGTTTCACAGCAGAACAAAACTAAAGAGAAAAACCTGAAATAAGATCAGAACGCCTTTCAGACGCCTCGAGGTCCCTTGGGCAGGTCGATCCTGAGCCTCGGGGGCTCCACCTCCAACAGCCCCGCCTTCAGGTTTCAGCCTCCAGCTGGTGCATTACGGCGACATCAGCGAGGCCACGAAGGACCTTCAGAAACACCAGTGCGGTTTTAAATGAGCCCTGGGAGCCGGTGTGAAAACACCCAAACCCAGAGTTTGTTTTTCAGTGGTCATGAGAGAGAAACACAACAAAGCTGTGTGTGTCTTTAAATGTTACAACAGGTCTTAGTTTTAACATCTGATAAAAACATGACGTCAAAATGTAGCGTTCGTCTTTATTTTAGGGTCTTTGTCCTCATCGGGCCGAGGAGCCAACACTGCGCCGAGACACCGAGGTGACCCGCGGGCTGGAGTAAAGATGCTGAAAGACCCGAGTTTGCAATCTATTGTAAATGATTTCTAAAAAACAAAAAACATCAAATGTTTGAAGAATTTATGGAGAAAAACTCCTTTTTTAAATTTAAAGGTAAATTACAGCAGTTACAGTTTCAGACATAATTTGAGAACAATATCTGAAAATGCAGTTAAATAAAACTACACTGAAAACTAAAAGTGCAGCAAGATGCTGTCAGTAAACATGAGCATCCAGGACCCACTCACATCTTTCTGAGATTTTCTTACATTTCCGAGTGTTTTTCCTTTTTTATTCCTCGTTTCCGCTAAATGTGCCGGTTTTTTAACCTTCAGTAACACCAACACGCTGTCAGTTTTATTTACTCGAGACATTTTTTTGATCGTTTACATCTTTATAAGTTCGTTCAGAGGCACAAAGACTCGACTGTATTTGGAAGATGAAGATAAAACGCGTTCACACAAACATAAAACAGGAAAACAAACTCGTTTTTTCACTTTTTATTTTTTGCTTGCAGACAAAAAAAGATCCATGAAAGTCCAGATATAATAAATAAATTAACTACTAAAAACCGTCGACTATTAAAGCGATTTAAAGAAGAAGAGGACGAGTGGTTGAAAGGTTACAGAGAAGATTTTACTGCCCACCTCCACCTGCTGATTGTTCCTTGATGGTTGCATATCCTATCAGAGACCTACGAGGTTCCCTCACCACAGGAAGAGCACAGAAAAGCAAAATAAAAGCTTTTTCCCCCCATATGAAAAGTTAAAAAGCTCCCGTAAGAACTGAGCCTGGTGGTTTATTGTCCCTAAAATATCGTCTTTAATTCGAGGAAACCTGAAAGATCTCGTTTAACTAGTTCACCCGTATTTGAGCTAATAAATGCAGTAATAACTATGTCTTCTTCTGCTGTTCCTCTTTGAAGCGATTCGCTGCCTGTGGTGGCGAACGCTGTCTGAAAGACATAATTATTTTCATGCATACAGTAAAGGAGAAACCTGTCGTCGAGTGTAAATGTCACAATCTTGCCGAGTTTGTAGTTTAACTGACTGAGGTAAAGTTGCCTGTTTCCTGAAGTAGAGCGCACCTGCCTGTGTGTGTTTGCTTTTTGGACGAGGAGACGAGGAGGCGGCGCTCAGGTTCAAACGTTTCTCAACTTCATCGGTTTGTAAAGTTCCGATTATTTTTTTTAAAAAACCCAGAAAAAAAATCATCCGAGCAGCGAGTCTGTGTCCGCACAGCGTTAAAGGAAAAATCCACTTCCATCTGAACTTTTAGTTTTTGCTCTGTGACACGTCCGGTGATGTCCCTGTTCTGTCCGAGCGCTGAGCTGGATCACAGCTCACCTGTTACCTCTCCAGTGTGTCCTGGCCACACCTCTGATAGGTGTTCGGGAGTCCGAGCCACCTCGGCTGCCTCCTTTCAGGGCGGTCAGGAGGCGACCGACCTGCGGTCACCACTCGCAGCCCGTCAGCAGGGGTCAGGGAACGCAGAGCATCTGGAAAACTGACAGACAAACTGTCCCGTTCCTGCAGACAAACTTGGAGCGGCTTCTCACTCCCAGCCCGCTGATTCGCTGATTCTGGACCCAGCTGACCTGCGGCTGAAGACCAACCCAGTGGACCAACCCAGAGGTGGAGGCCATCGCTCAGCCCAGATCTTCCGTCCACTGAAGGGAACAAACCAAGCTCGCACTGCAGCCCTGCAGGGACCGGAGCCGCCCCGCCCCCACCACAGGAGGACGAGCTGGAGCAGCGCTCTGTAACCAGGATCAAACGGGATCGCTCCTCTAGCATCCTGGGATCTATGAGCGAGACCCACCTGAGGCTGAAACCCTCTGGACCAGCATCCGTCGAACACCATCCGTGGATGCTGGTGGTGTGAGCGGTGCAGTCGTGATGCAGGTAGTTTGATTAGAAGCTTCAAACCAGCGGTTAAAAGTTTCCGTCGGCACAGACGAGTAAACAACAGCGAGAATCAAAAATCTGTTTATGTCGAGGCGTGCTCGTCTGTGGTTACCCCGCAGAGGGTAAAACTGACCACGCTCTGAGTTTTAAAGTGGATTTTCCCGTTAACGGTGCGTCACGTGTTCTCTGGTTGTTTTGGTTCAAACTGAAATCATGTTGAAACTGAACCTGAACGCCTGAAAACAAAAACAGATTCAGCTTCCATTATGTTTTATGTTGTTCAGACTTTAAGAAATCACCTGGAAAAATACAAAAGGTCTGCTGTGGGTCTCTTTCCAGCGCTGCGTTTGTCTTTATTTAAACAATCGTAGAAACAGAATGGCACTGATCGGAGCGGTTTTAAAAACCTCATCTTCAGAGGAGCCGAGTGTTTCTGGGCCGGAGGACGATCCCTCCGGAAAAAACGTCCAGCGGTTCCTCCGTTATTCTGAAAAAAGTCCTTTTAATAAAGAGAAAACCATGCGAGGTCTGACCTCTGAGAAATGTCCTGGACTTCTGTCTTTATACAAACGCTGATTTCTTTTTAGTTCTGTATGAAAATCTGAGTAAAAGCCGAGTCGCTGTCAGAGTAAAAGCTTGTCGTTTGTACAGGAGCAGAGCTGAATCGCAGCGCCGTTCGGTCCCCGGCAGACTAAATCCACACGCTCCGTCCTCCGTCGCGGCGATTCTCAGCTGCACCGCGACCCAAAGCCTCCGAGGCTCCAACCCACCGCTCGACAAGCGAATGTCCATCTGACCTTACCGCAGCCATCTTTGGGTCCCGAACCACCAACTGAGAAACACCACATCCTCTGTCATCTCTGCGCGGGGGGAGCAACGATAAACCTGAGGAAGGACAGGTGGGGAGAAGAGAGGCAGGTAACTACGGAGAAACACGCCGGGTCATTCAGGATTCATCTTGTTATCCCAACAGCGTCACATGGAGGTGACTCAGGAAGTCAGCCCCAGGTTTGGTGAGATGGCTAACAGCACCTTCACCCGAGGCCAAGTTTGCAGCATCTGACCAATCAGAATCATGGACGTGCCTACGGTGCACTGACTACAGGGACCCACAGGAGGGCCGGCGCTGTACACATTGACTGTGCATTGACTACAGGGACCCACAGGAGGGCCGGCGCTGTACACACTGACTGTGCACTGACTACAGGGACCCACAGGAGGGTCAGCGCTGTACACACTGACTGTGCACTGACTACAGGGACCCACAGGAGGGTCAGCGCTGTACACACTGACTGTGCACTGACTACAGGGACCCACAGGAGGGCCGGCGCTGTACACACTGACTGCACTGGATTCAGTTCAAAGCTCAGAAATCAAACAGAAACATGGAAATCTCCTGAACAACCACTGCAAAGTGGAGCAAACATCAAATCTGTGGCACAGCTGCAGTGTTAAAGACCGGGCCATGTAGTCTGTCTCCTGTTAACGACTATTATATGAATAAAGTTCAGTCTATTTGAAGTCAGGAAGCAAAGCTAGTAGAAGCAGAACTGCAGCACATGTCCCTGCAGAGAGCAGATTCAACCAATCAGGAGCTGTAATATCAGGCAGCTCCTCCTGTGCTGACAGGCTGTGGTTCTTATCTGTTTCTTATCTGTAGTTGGGTCGACTGAGGACAAAAGGTTTCATGAAACAGAAACTGCTTCTACCTGCTCGTCGACTCACGCGTCTGCAAACTGTGCGGTAATTTTCCTGGTTTTAGTTTCTGCTGAATCTCTGGAAATAAAAAAGGAATAAAACTGAAAACATTTCTCACCTGTCTGCTCACGTCTGCTCTTCTGCCTGAGGCTGTGATTGGCTGAAACCTTCAGATCCCTCCTGGATCTCTTCATCCTCCTCCTCTTCTGCGTCCTTCTCGTCTTCCTCCACGCAGTCGTCGTCCGATGCCTCCTCTCCTTGTTCTTTCACCTCCATTTCTCCCTCGCTGTCTGCGTGCTCCGCCGTCGCCTCCTCCTCCTCTTCCTCGTCCTCTTCCTCCGCCTCCTCATCGCTGAAGAGCTCCGTGCCCTCTTCCGCCCTCCTGGCGGTCTCGGAGAACCAGTCTCTGACCTGCTCGTAGCTCATGCTGGACTTTGCCACCAGCTCGTCCAGGTCCTTCTCGCTCAGGGCTCGGTGCTTGAGGTAGTACTCCTTCAGAAAAGCCTTACCGGACTTCACCTGCAGGAGGAACAAAGATCACCTTCAGTCACTTGTAATCCTCACATTTGCTACACAATGAGTCCAGGAGAGGCTGGACTGTGAAATGTGGACGATCCGGGGATCGAACCAGCGCCCTGGTTGGCAGACGACCTGCTAAAATCCAGCTGAATACTCGAGTTCTCCAGCTGCTCTCCAGCAGTTCAGAGACAGGCTGTTGTACCGCCTCTCGCCCAACGATGGCCAGCCGAGTAGGAATTTTTCTTTTTTTTCTAAAAACGCACCTTGATGGCACCGTCGCCGCCCTGTGGAGAGCGCTTGCAGGGATACGGCCGGCGCGTCCTCCTGGACCAACCACGGAAACGCTTCCTTGACTTCTTCTGGCTCTTTGCGCCGCCGTTCAACGCCTCGTCCACCTGGAACAAGAAAAAAAAACGTCAGATGTTACCAGGAGATGAAGCGTGGCGTTTGTGTTACATCACAAAAAAGGTTTCCTGCGCGCGCACCTTGCCGCTCTGGTAGAGGTAGTACCACTTCAGGTTGCTGTTCTTGCAGGCGTAGCGCGTGTCTCCGAACCAGTTTACGATGTACGTCCTCGGCAGCCCGCTCTCCTTCGCCATCTGGTCGTACTCCTCGGGCGTCGGCCACTGCGAGTGGACGAAGGCCTTCTTCAGGATGTGCAGCTGCTCCGGCGTCTTCTTCACCAACTTCCTGCTGATGGGAGGCGTGCCCTGTCGTTCCTGAGCCGAGGGCGAAGGCGCGGCGGCCGGTTTCGCCTTCTCGTCGTCTCCCTCTGCGTCGCTGTCCTTCGACTGACCCGCCGACGGTATTTTCCTCCTCTCCGTGAACCAGGCGTCTACTTCGCGCCTCGTCAGCTTCGTCTCCGCCCGCAGCCGGCTCAGCTCCTCGTCTGAGGGCGTGTCCGACTTCTGGAAGCTGGCCTCCAGCACGAGCAGCTGCTCCGGAGTCTTTTCCTTGAACTTCTGCGGCGTGAAGTCGGGGAAGGCGTGGCGGAATTTAATGCGGAGGTCGCTGGAGGACCCGGCTGAGCCTGGAGCGCCGGCCGAGGTCGGCGAGGAGTCGCTGGCGTCGTCGCTGGAGTCGATGACGATGGTGGAGGTGTTGTCGCTGTTGTTGCTATCGTTGATGTTGAGGCCACCGCCGCCGCTCCTTCCTCCTCGGCCGCCGCCGGCCGCGGCTCTGCCAGGCGTGGCCTGCGTCAGCAGCAGGCTGTGGTGGTCCTTGGAGTTCCTCTGGTTGTAGCGCGTGTCACTGAACCACTTCTTTATCGCTCGCTTGGAGAGTTTGGTGACCTGCATTAGGCGCGAGATCTCCGCCTCGGTGGCGAACTGCCGCCGGCTGTAGCTCGCCTTCAGCTCTGCCAGCTGCTCTTTGGACTTCTTCGGCTTGCTTGTGGTCGAGTCCAGACCGAGCGACACGCCGGCCGACGAAGACGACATCTCGGCGTTCGATTCGGACGTAGACGGCTCGGCGGCTTTGGGCTGGCTGCCGGGGACACCCGCGACCGTCAGCGTGATGGGAGAGGCGACGGGGACCGCGCCGCTGTTCCCGGCCACCTGAGTGAGGACGAGGCCCGGCTGACCGACGATCTGACACGTCTGGAAGATGTTCTGCAGGCCGTTTGTGGTGGCGGCGATGTTAGCGGGGATGACTGTGATGGTCTGAGGGATGGTCTGCACTGTGCCGTTAAACTTCTTCCTCCGCGCCTCCTCCACCTGCAGAGAGGAGCAGTAGAAGGTCAAAGGTAAGGTGTGACATCACCGACTTTCTAAAGTTATTAAAGTTGTGGGAGTTATTGTTTAGATGCTGCAGTGAAGATGTTTCTCAGAACTGCTCAAGTTCCTGCCTCAGGCTTCCTCAGAGCCACAGACTTATTCTACATCTACGAAACAACCAGAACGACTTCCTGTCAGGAAACTGAACCACAATCATCATCATCAGCCACAACACAATCTGACCGGGAGTCACGTGATCAGTGAGGCGGTGACGGCCTGTAAAAACCTGTTTTATAAAGCGACCTGACGAGTCTGGCAGCAGTTAATAAACACTCATAACTGCAGTTCTTAAAAACTGGACCACGTTTGTGCTCAAGCACTTTTTTTAATGACCCAGGAAGAAGTTAATGATGTAGTTTCTACTCACACAGTGTGACACTCAACAGCACAATAATGTTTCCTGATGCTTTTCTCTGAGAGTAAATCTGACATAGGAGCAGCTTCTTCCTTTTACCAGGATTCATCTGTAAACTGTGAAGGAAACGTGTCGCTGACGCTGACTGCAGATGGACCCGGAGACGCAGCATCAGCGACACGTTGAAACAAACTGCTGAACAGCCTCTGCTGCAAAATCCACTTTCAGTTTGAAGCCTCTGGTGGCCTTTCAGAGCTGTGGGACCTGCTGAGACTCGTCCTTCAGGCTGCTCGCACACAAACTCAGGATATTTGATCAAATTAGACTCTCGCGTGGTAACTGGAACAACATCAGACGTGACGGGAAGTTTAACTGCAGCCGGTCAGTCTGCGTGTGAGCGTCTGCTGAAGCACCCACCTCCTCCGGCGTCCAGCTGACTCCGTGTTTGAGCCTCTGAGCAGAAAACCAGACTTTGATCTGCTCCTCGCTGAACTTGGTCTGTGACGAAAGGCCCACGATCTCCGACACCGAGGGATACGGAAACCTGCGACACAAAAAGCACGCACACTGAAACGGCAGCGGGATTACACACCAAGAAACACGTCTGTGTGCTCGTGGAGCAAAGCAGTAACCTCCACCCGTCTGTGCTACCACCCAGCCTCCATCCAGCTGTGACTGATGCAGTAAATGCGGGTGTAGTAACCGGGCGGGTCGGCTGCTTTTTCGTATCATCAGGTGCACAGAGAAGTGCAGTAAAATAAGATAAAGCATGAGCGACAGCTGGCCTTTCAAAATAAGAGCGAGCCAACTGTCTGACAGTGATTAAATATACAAAAAGCTAAAATCAGTGGGCGGTTCCACGTGTGCGGCGCCCCTCAGGTGTACCTCAGGTGTGCTTACCTGTTGTAGGCGCTGACCAGCAGGACGTTGTTGTCCATGGCTGCGTTGTAGGTGGGGATGCTGCTGATGGGGATGAGGAGCTGCGTCTGCGTGCTGTTCTGCTGGCTCTGCAGGGCTGACAGAACCTGCGCCAGCGTCCCCGGAGGCAGCACGCCGCCACCAGCGGGGGAGGCCCCGCCTTTAATCTGCAGCACGTTGGGGCTGTTCACCACGATGCTCTGCGGCACGGCCTGGACCTGCAGCGGCGCGGTGATGGGGATGAGGCGAGGGGCGACGGTAGCGGGGGCCGTCGGCGCGGGCGACAGCGCAGGCGGCTCCTTGTCATCATCCTCGTCGTCGCTTTCCACTTTGATGACATCGTCGACGGCCATCTTGTGCGCGGCGGTGAACTTCTTGGGCTCAGCTCGGCTCTTGTTCCTCATGATGGGCGTCTTGCTGAAGGCGATGCCTCTGCGCGCCGTCTCCTCCGCCTCGTCCTCCTCCACTTTGACGAAGCTGCCGTCGAAGGTCAGGTCGTTCACCGTCTGCTGGAAGATGGTCTCGTTGTTGCGCTTCACCATCGTCCGCGTGAAGTTGTCCTCGCCCGGGTGCAGCCGAGCGTTGTGGGCCAGCAGCGTGTCGTAGCTGGAAGCAGAGGATCATGGGTAAATAAAGCAAAAAAGGAGATTCAGAACTCAAACTATGGTAAAGTCCACAGTGTTGATGCTCAGTTACAGATCATTTTTACATCTTGGCGTAAACGTCACTGAGTAGCAGCTTTCAGCCCTGAAATTAGGGATTAAAACAGTGATTTCTTTAATCGTCTCTTTGTTGAGATTAAAAATCGCTCTTTCTGCTGTGTTTGTGTGTTTTTTTTAAGGAAGTGAATGAAAGTTTTGTTTCCTTCTGCTTGCTGGGACAAGGACTGCTGCTGTGCATTTACAGGAGGTTTAAAAATGAAACATTAAAAATGGACGAGTGGAGCCATAATCGCTCTGTTGGCGTTTTTCTGTCTGAAGATGATGAACTTTGACACGTGTTGGTGTGTTTGGTGTTATCAGTTACTCTAACCTGCCTTCAGGGCCTGGATCTGGACTGTTTTGGCTCTTAATCTTTCACATTTCTTTTTAAATAAACGCACTTCCTGTCAGGTGGTGTGAGCGTGGTACCTCTTGGTGTGGTAGTCACACTCCATGCAGACATAGGAGGTGTTGAGGACGACGTCGGGATGCTCCGTGTCCACGTGCATGGTGAACAGGTTGAGCTCCGACGTCTGGAAGCTGCAGTATTTGCACTCGTAGCCTCCCTCCGCTGCATTCAAGTCCAGGTAGGGGTCCGACGCTGCGACCTCACGCCTGCCGTCGGCCTCCTCTCCTCGCTCCTCCAGCAGGCCGGAAGCCTCTGAGGAGACGGTTGCCGCGCCGTTGCTGTCCTCTGGATCCGCCGCGCCTGTTACATCCTCCATCTCCTGGTCCGAGTCCACAGTTTCTCGGGGAGGAACCATGCAGGGGATGGTGGACTTCCTCCTGCTCGCCATCCTGAGTTTGGGTGAGCGCCGCGTTCAGCCGAGTGTTGGAGCCGACTCAGTTCAAGCCGTCCTGTCGTGGCTCCATAAAGGAGGAGGTCACCAGTCGAAATGTTCCCTTCGCTGTCTTTAAACCCTGTGGCACAGAAATGCATCATTACTCAGAGCACATCCCCACGATCACGCCACCTGTTCTTTAAGATCAAACATCAGCAGTTAACCCTTTAAAGCCGGTCGGAGCGGGCACGCTCCGTTTTGCATAACTACTTTTAAAACCCTGTAGAACCGGAACCACGGTTCTACAAGCTAGCGCAGTCATTTTTTTGCATATGAAACCAGAGGAGTTGTACTTTCATCTGATGCCATCAGCTTGTCCTAAATCACGGTTTCCTTCCACATATAGCTTTGCAAAAACAGCATAAAAAGCGCTTGCAGGAACAAAAACATAATATTCCAGAAACTGGCTTAGCCGATCCGATCAGCTGTTCGTAACACTTCCTACATTGAAATAGACGTCAGTGCGAACTATGCATGTCCGCCATTACTTCCCCGAAACCGGAAGTGACGTCATTTTCGCGGAAAATGTAGTTTTTTACTTGTAGGCCTTAAAAGCCAATAGTGGTGTTTTTAAAAGTCATGTTTGACTTTATGATTTTCTGAATAGTTGCTGGGATGCTTAGGACTCAAATTGCACTGCTGGAAATAGTTTATTTTATTTTGATGCTGTTTTCTTTGCAAATTTGCATCATAGGATTGTTTTTCATTTTTTCTGCAGTATATAAAAATTGGTGTATCACAAAAATAAAACTATGAAGACACTCAAAATAAATTTCCTGTTGTTGTAAACTACTGTTTGCAACTTTTTGTATTTAAAATTTCTCCAAGTAGAAATATATGTAAAAAAAACAAAAACGATTTCCAATTTTTTGTAGTTTATTGCACTTTTTTGCATTTTATGTAGTTACTATGGACTTAATGCATACATATTATTAGAATTTGGGCTATAACAGTTGTATTGATGTATAGCAACTTGAAATGCTCCCGAAAATGGCTCCACAGCATGTAAAAAAAAATATATAAGCTCTGGCGGACTTGGTTCTATGGTAGGTCTTAAAGGGTTAAATTATCACGTACGGGTCGCTCCACCTTCATCCTCCTTCATCGCTCTTGTCTGTCAGAGGCTTTGTATACAGTGAAGTCACATGTTTTTAAATGAACTGTGCAGTTATTATGCTGTAAATGCTGAAACACGTTCATGCTGATGAAATCAGTTATTAAACTGTTCCAGCACCATCAGTGAATCCTTCCTATGATTGCTTGATCACGACCACGCTCAGTATCGTAAACTCAACGATCCATTTGTTAACACATCACACAAAAAAATGTCCGTTTACAGCAAAGATGGAGGGCGACAGCTCGTTATTCCGCAGCTCTGACTAGTTAACTAGCCTGTCTCAGAAGAGCAACTGCTCATGGTAGCCACAGGGCAACGAGGGCAACACAAACAGTGTCACGCCGCAGAAATCAGTCTGATTCTCAGAGGATACAAAAAAACCCAAAAAAAACAGACACACACACAAAAAACAACAACAAATAATCTTTCTGTTGCTCCGAGTTGCAGGTCAGGAAGACGGCAGCACATTGTCCTGTAAGCTATGGTGAAAAGTACGGCCAGCCTACGCTGACATGGTCTGTCCCACTTTGCAAACTGCTGGATTATATAATTTAACGAGGCTTTAGCTTACACTGACGACAGCAATAATTACTTAAACGAATATTTTGGGCATAAACAGCAAATGTATGAGAGTTAAATAGTTTAGTCACATAAACCTTCATAACTACAGCTACAGACAGCTTTGGTGTATGACAGCAGGATCCTTTAGATGATAAATTTAACTCCTAAAGTCTTTATCATTATTCTGTCATATTACATATCAGGTGTTACTGACCACGTGACTGTGTTTCTATTACCACTTAATTAACCCGCCGTCCCCCGTACACAAACAAACTCAGAGGTGTTGAAGCTGTCTTGGTTGGGTCTGTCTCCTCAGCTGCTTTCTACAGTTTTGTTTATTAACTGTTAATAAAATCAGAAGTTGCCAATAGTCCCAGTTTTGGTTTAATTCGTTTTTTTACTAACATCAGTGAAAGGGGAGGAGCCTGAGTCAGTGTCAGCTGATGGCTTCTTCTTCTGTTTGTTTATGTCAGGCTCCTAGCTGCCTGACTTTGTTTGGGCAGAAACATGGTGACCCTAAAGATTTCATTTTCCTTTCAGCCGTGGATTTAGGGGCAATAACGCAGAGTATGCAGAAAAACACATGATTTTAAATACTGTAAACAAAACAACATCATAATTAAAATAGTGCCAGTGTGGGGGATGATCACAGGATCCTTTCCATGAGTAACAACTCTGACCACTAACCCTACAGATCACTGTGAGACATCAGGGAGATATAAAAGAATAAAAGGAGTTTTCCACCAAAGCCAGTGTAACTTTGCTACTGTGCACCCTGGAGATGCGTCTGGTACAGTGGCAGACCTAAATAAACTTTTACTGCAGTATATCCTAATCTTATACTGCTGCTGTACTGCATTTCTGAGGTAAATATTTGCACTTGTTGCTGCCCTACTTTGACTGTAGCCTCTACTTAATTAAGTCTGTGCTTTATTCCTTTGAAACAGCTGTAAACAGCTGATAGCTTCAGATCGGGATCATTGATTAGTCCAAAGTCCTCCTTTGTTTTCTTATTAATCATCGTATGATCCCTGGTGACCCTTCAGAGGGGCCCAGGCCTTAGTTTGGGGGCCGGTTTACAAACCGTTACCAGTACTACTTCAGTCAGAGATACATTTCCTGCAGGGAAGGTACTTCTGATACTTCTGCTCAGCACTGATTGCAGTACTCAGTACCTTGCCTCGGCGGTGTGGGGGCTCGGTTCGTACTCGGTGTACTTCCTGCCCAGCACACACGTAAACATGTTAGAGCTCCACGAATCTCCCCTGTCCTCACTGAACATCCTCCCGCTAACGTTAGCTAGCCCCGCCGCTCCGCGCTGTGGTAGCCGACGCTCCGCTGCTTGCAGCGGGCAGCAGGCTCCAGCTGACGCCGCTAGCAGCCTGCTGAGAGCCCGGGCGTGTTTACCTGCACTGTCGGTTTCCGTTTTCCTGCATGTCGGAGCGAACAGTTAGCTGTAGCCGTGTCTGTTGATACGCAGTCTTCCGCCTTTTGCTTGATTTCACCGCGGCTCCCATCTGCTTCAGCCGGACACAGAGCCGCTCCAGCGGCCGGGGAACATGCTAACTACCGCCGGCTAGCTCCGGTTTGGGCCGGTCGCCGCTCCGACTCGCATTGCTCGCTGTCGCGCTTTGTTAATGAGACGGACCGTTTAAGTGAAAAGGGTCCGATAGTTCACCGAATCTGACGATGGCCATTTTTCATACCGCCACTACAAGCGAGCAACGGCCGAGAAATGTATCCGGTTTGAGCTTTTCGCAATAAGAGCATCAACGCAAACACGAGAAACGCCAGTAACATGAACTGTGTGGGTAACTGTGTAATTGACACACTCACAGCTGTAGTTGAAGTCAACAACCACAGCGACGAAACACATTTAAATACGTTAAATTACAGTAATTACATCTCACAAAACCTACAACCTGCGGTGCTGTTCTTACATATCACTAATAGTATTAGAAATATTTCATTTAAAAATGATGCTATGTTATTTTTTATTTTACATTTCAGTTAGTGTAATAATGTTTAGGATGTGGGTTTGAATCCTCTGAGCTTTTCTGTGTGGAAGTTATCTCCAGGTACTCCGGCTTCCTCTCACAGTCCAAAGCGTTTAGGATACCTGGTGATTCTACGTGGACTGTGTGAGTGAACGGTCGTCTGTCTGTGTTAGCTCCTGACAGCCTGGTTACCCGTCTAGGTGCACCCCGCCTCTCGCCCTGCGGTAGCCGGCACAGGCTCCAGCCCTGGGTGGTGTTTTCTTCCAAGTAAAAACAATAAGTTTGTTTTACAGCGTTTCATATTCTGGGATGTGTTCAGTCAAAATAAAAGTACGCGCAAGCGCAATGTAGATGAAAGGAAACTAAGAAAATATATTTAAATGAAAGCTAATGACGATCAGTTATCAGCACTCAGCTCACCGTGGCATCGAAAAACCACTAACAATGTATAAAAAGACTTTATTTTGAAGAAAGCGGAAGCGTCTGTCAGCGTGCTGAGGTCAGTGTGTGACATTAATTATTTTTTATTTTTTAAATATATACACACATATAGGAGCATGGAGGGCACGAGCAGAGCCTTTGTGGTTACGTCACATGGCTGCGCTGCGACTTTCAGAGTAAAAGTACCATCACACACACACACACAGGAGAGAAAATCCACCATCATACACTGAACTCTAGCCTTACTTACAAATCACTAATATCATTTATTTTATTTAATACTAACGGATTCATGTGAGAAACTGAAAGAAGCTCTTTGAGTCTGAAGCCCTTGAAACTGTTTCCAGCTCTCTGTAAACACTCAGATACTAACGTTTCCCACATCTGCATTTCTGTCAACTCTTCTGAGGCCTGTGACTCCAGCTGCATGTTTTCATGGTTTTATTCTGTGGTTTCGTGCTGGAGTCGCATGTGCAGGCTTTCAGCGGTCAGCTGAACAGGAAACAGACGGCGGCTTCATTCACGCTCACAGAGACTTTATTAAAGCGACATCAGACAAACAGCATGGAGATAAACATGGTATTACTGTTTGAAAAGCACTGCGATAAAGCACACCTGAGAGGAGAAACTGAACGATTCCTGACGAATGAACGACGCGTTTGTTTGAACACTGAGGTTTATTGAAGTCGAGCTGCTGGAGGTCAGGAGAATCGATCGATTTCTGTCTTCATTTCCTGGAAAGCAAAAGTGAGAAAACTGAAAATGTGCTGTTGGTGTCTGTGCGCTGCAGGCTGGAGGCTGGTACCTGATAAAGTAGCTACTGTAATCAGTTATTTATACTGAGGTCACATGAGCACCCTCTGGGTCTCTGTGGGCGTCGTACCTGCAGCAGCTCTGCCTTGTTGCAGTTGTCTCTGTGTCGGTAGATGCACTGAGCGAGCCGGGCGTAAAGCTTCTCCAGTGGCTCCACCTCTGCGCCATCCGTCTTCGCCACGGCTCTCCTCAGGAGCTCCTGGAAAACAGAAACCAGTTTGAGGTGGTGCCTGCAGAGGCCCGTGGGGCCCACGGCCCCTGCTTTATTCATTACTGGCTGCTGGGGTGGGGGAGGGGATGCTGTGCGACTTCCTGTTTGTTTCCGGTCTGAAAGCAGCTCTTCAACCGTTGGTGCTGCAGACTGAAGATGTGAGCAGACTGCTTCCTCCAGTCAGACGTGAGCAGATTCCTTCATGTTCAGCTTCCTGACGACTCGCTGAGAGCAGACGGAGACGATGAAGAGCTTCCTCCTCATCGTAAAAGGACAAACTCAAGGCGTCTGACCGGTAAAGCAGGACAGCCGCAGCTTCTTGTTCCTCATGTTTGTCAAGTATACTTCACTCTGTATGTAAACTCAGACGGACCATCCAGGTATGAAGAGTGAAACGAAGCTGGACATGTAAATCTGCAGTTACGTTAACAGCCAGCAGGGGGCTCCAGCTGTGTCTGTGACCTTGTTAAGTTTGCGTTGATGGGTTTACGGTCACACTGAGTACAGTGTGAAGGTTATTCTCTTCACGCTGATCCAGGATCTGCTCACTGATGAACGCTGGCTCTAATGAACACAGCGTCATGTTTTATTCAGTCTGAGCCCCTTAAAGAGGCGAGCTGGGACTCACCTTCAGTTTGCTGCGATCGACGATCAGCGGTGGAGTTTCTTCCTGCTGCTCCGGCCTGTCCCGACTCAACACCTGCTCCAAAGCCGCCTTGTTGGCCCTCGACTCAGACTGTTCGCTCTTCTCTGAGGAGGAAGACAAGCAGAGGAAGAGGGCATTACCCTGCAGTGCCTTCCACAAACAGCCAACTCTATGCCTTCACAGCTGGAATCAACCAGGTTATGGCAAAAAGAAATGACTGTGGAGTTTTCAGCTAACAGTAGACATCATTTCCTTTGGGATTAATATTCTGATTTGTTAGAAAGCTGCAACACACACACACAGCAGCCGTGTTATTGGTCAGATAATTTAAAAAACACCACTCAGCGCCGCGTCAGAGGAACTGCAGTGTTCTCATACCTGGAGGCGGAAGCTAACAGGTCAGGTCTGATTGGCGTGATGCAGCCATCAGATTTACAGATGCAAAGCTCCGCTGTGTGTGTGTGTGTGTGTGTGTGTGTGTGTGGGGTATTTACAGTGTGTGCTGAACCACAGAGCCGCGTTAGCGCTCCTGCAGTGCGTTTCATTCAGACTAAAGCAGCCGGCTCTGACACCTCACACGCTCCTCCTGCTCGATGCCCGGAGCGCTGCGGAGCCTCGTAGCGTGAAGCGGCGGCCTGTAGAAGCTCGATCGGCAGCGGCTGCGCTCTGAAGCGGTCCAGTGAGTCGGTTAGTACAGCGAGGCGCTCGCACTGCTCGTGCTCACGCGCACAGACCTAAGCTGTCCGCGGTCTGGCCGTTCAGCACGGTCTCCGGGCCTGGGAGGGTCTTTGATGAGCGGGTTCGACGCACGCCTACAGGTACGCCATCAGCCAGCTGGCGATGAACCGGCTCGGTGTGGCGGTGATACCCGTTCGTGAGGACTCCGTTGTGGGATCTTGTGATGCGGTTTGGGGTGCGATGGAACCCACTCAGGCCGCCGTCACTGCTCTCTGATGGGCTGGACGAGCCAGCACCAGCAGACCCGTTCACCGCTCGCCGTCCAGCAGCTCTGACCTCCCCCGCACTCGACTCAGAGCTGAACTTACTGGACATGGAGGAGAGGGAGGTGAAGGAGGAAGAGGAGGAGGATGGGACTGGTGGCTCCTCCTCCTTCTTCTTCTTCTTCTTAGGTTTCTTAATGACGCCGGTGCTCCACTTGGACTTTCGGGGCCGTCTGTAACGTTTCTTCTTACGAGCTGGAAAACAGAAGTGGGGGTGGGGGTGGAGCAGGGAGGAGGAAGAGTAAAGGTCATTAGAGAGAAAGGTCACTTCTCGTCCTCTCTGCCTCTTCCTGTCCTCGCCTGCCCTGCGGCTCTCACGTTTGAGCAAACACTGTGGCTTCCTGCTCTCGCTGCTTTCGCTTTCACTGAGACGTTTTTAAAAGCAGCTTTTTGCTGCAGCAGCTGAAAGAAGCGCCAAGCTCTCTGTTCATCAGACGTTTCACAGCGTGAGACGAACCCGGAGCCTCAGTCCTGCTGCGAGTCTGTGAATCCATCGTTAACATGACGACTTCTCTTTTACTCTCATTTGATCTAAAAGCTGCTCTGAGGAGGCGATCCCAAAGAAAAAACACATTTCTGTAGATCCACAGACGAGGAGAATCAGCTCGCTGGCTGACAGACGACTTTAAAACTGATTCATTACTTGAGGTTTTTATAAAGTTTGATGGTTACAATCTTATAAAATCGACTGTTTTTGTGATTTAAATGTCATCTTTTTGGCATTTTGTGAAAGCAGCTGAGTTTTGAGAACTTCTGAAGAATATTTTTGGAGTAGCCTGATGTCCTAATGTTTGGTACGCGAGTCCAGACTCTGAAACAGGAAGTGAAACTGGTGCACTCATCAACTGTCACTTCTCTCTCACGGACCAATTAAAAGTAGGGGCGGGGCTTATCAGCACTACTAACAGTGGCTGAGGAGAACCTGACGGGGGGTTGACGGCTCACTGGTGCACACGCTGACGGTGATCAGACCTGATGTGATGTCTGCTGGTTTGCTCTCACGTCACTCATATTTCTAACAGTTTTGTTAAGCAGCTGCTGACGTCTGTGACTAACAGTGCGCAGAGACTCTGAGCCGCCCCGTGCTGTTTCAGTTCAGGGGTGAACTTACGTTGGAGAGTGTTTCTGGAGAACGCCGAGCTGCAGACGCCATCGGCCTCCTGCGAGTTGGCCACCATCAGAGCTGTCACCAAAATAAAAGTCTTAATATAAAGTTTGACAGTACACTGTTAGCAGCAGCTGGATGAGGCGTGAACATCTGGCTGAGTTTCACCTCTGTGGATGCGCGACTCTCTGATCTCCTCGCAGACTTTCTCGAAGTCTTCGTCCAGCTCGTCTCTGATGATGGCGCGGACCGTGTCCTTCAGGGCGCACGCTCGGTGACGGATGTTGCGATCTGGCACACACGCACACACACACACACACGCAGTAAAACAAACAGGTTTTTTATCACCTCTCCACAGGTGAGTCCAGCTGAGAAATCTGCTTCTGTTTAGTTCGTCTCTCCTCAAACAGACGCAGACAAACAGAAAAGGATTTTTTTCCCCCCCACCCAACAGCTGAACTTATAGCCCCGCCCATTGTGGAAATGTTTCCACCTGGAGACGCCTGCTCCGTC